TTTTAATGTTAATATTATTTCTGCATTAGGTTTGGACCATGTAATTTAATGTATAGCACTTTCCTAGGAAAAGGCATAAGGTAGATGACACTGAGCTTCTTCAAGTAAATGAAGTTGTTTCATAGTCTGAAATCTCTGGTCGAGTATTACCCAGAAGCTATGGTATAGCTCAGGATGTTCCACAAGAGCCGGACTTGAAACACTTCTTCAGTCACATTAAGAGCAAGTCCCGATGGGGATCACTGAAATTCTTGACACTGAAGGCTTTATATTAACATAAACAAAAAACTACGTCCCTTTATTTCTTGTAGCAATACATGCCAACTGCATCAAAACAAGCAAGCAGAAAGTCAGACAAACCAGCAGCCTGCTGGCCTTATGCAATGCCATATCTTAGCAAACACACTTTATTGTTTGGGTTTGATGTTATTTTACTGTACCAAAAGCACTGGTCGTCTCTGGTGATACTACCTCCTTTGCTGGCTTCTCAAGTGGTACCAGTGGTTTAGGATATCTGGATGCTACAGTGAGTTTTCAAAAGCAAGACAGCAATAAGTCATTATTTAAAATCTTCCAATCAATACTGGAGTATTCACCAGCAAGGAAGGAGCCTTTATAAACACGAAGACAAACAGATTTCTCTAGGTCTTACACCGATTCCACCTCAACGTCTGCAGGCTCTTCTCTGCAAAAACATATGGGAAAGTTTCTGCATTTAAGCAGAGAACTCAGACCAGAACCCACTTTAAGTTACACGAGCAAGTAAAATTTCAGAATATGGAAGAAAACCAAACCACAATAGGAAAATCAACAGGAATTTCAGAAAACAGTATCTTGCCGAATGTGGTTCAAAGGTAGACAGTTACAGTGACATTTGACATTTTCAGAGAACAGTTTCAGGATAGTTTTAGCACAAGTCACCAAGCACCAATTTTCTTGTTTATGACATTAAACCTCAGCCCCTTCTACTACTTAAGTAATATACATATGGCCCCGTTCCAAAGTAGTATCTATATTAGCACGAACAGAATAAGCCTCACAAATGGCGTTCAAAGCAGAAAAAGAGAATTACCAATTTTATTCAGTTAAAATTTTATGAAAATTTTTCCATATAGTTAACATTTCCGTAAGATACTATATGTGTATTGAGATGACAACATGACGAAAAATTCAATTTCCCCAAGCTACCTAAATTTGCAGTTTTATTGTTACTGCAAAAAGGAAGTCCAAATAAACCATATACATCCAGTTGAAATAAAGCTTAAACATGAAGAAGCACTGCAATAAAGACACGCGATGTCTGATTGACTAATGCAACACAGTAAGTGCTAGAACAAACAACAGAAATAGAGATTTTTCTACTGCCCAAGAGTAGATTTTGGAGGTGAGGTTTTGTTCATGCATTTTTTGCTTTGGAGTTCTGGGATTTGGAAGGTTTTTTGGTGGTTGTTGTTTTGTTGTGTTTTAACTACATTTTCACTTTTGAAAGTTTTATTGAGGAATGGGGTGTACCTCTCAATAGGACTTCAGAAGTATTAAATCCCTTAACTCAGACACCCCCATGCAGCGTCCAGACCTTTCCACACACTTCATCTTTTCTGATAATAGGCATCCACATTCTTGAATCAGGATGTAAGAAAAGAGAATCAAAAAAAAAAAACTTTAACTAAATTTCATAATAAGTGAGAATCCAATCTAGGGACAAAGAAGTGGAACTCCTACCTCTACCTGTTACTCAACAGAGCAGCTGCAGGGATCACTTGGATCAACCAGCTTTATCTCTGGTCGCATCATCTACGTAACCACTGTGAACTGTCAGCAGAGCGAGAACCCTGCTTCCACCAGTCAGGCTCTGTCCCAGCTCCCTGAACAGGGCAGAAAGCAGAGCCGTGCTCTTCAGCATCACGGCCTGGGAAAGCCACAGCAGTTTTGAGCATCGAGTATTCCAGGTATAGAAGCACATGACAGCTAAGGGGCTTGAATACAGCTTATGATTTCTCCCTCTCTTCACCAAGACTTAAGGAAAAATAGTGCCAGAGCAACTGGAAAAAGACATAACTCTTATTCCTCACTACCCTCCCTCCCCACCTCCAGCAAAATCTCATCAATTTCAAGTAAATGGCTAGGATTTAATGTTAGCATTAACTGACATTTAGGTTGCTAAGTCTTTTATAATAGTTTACTTTACCCTGTTTATTGAAGTGCTTTGCATTACACAGATGACCACCATTTGAAAACAGAACAGTTGTGTCTGTAGATGTTAAAGAAAATGATCAGCAGAGCCTACGTTGCACTCCTCCTGCGCTCTGCCTTCATGAAAGGGCTCCATGATTGGGAGGAGGGGAATAAAAAAAATTTCAGAAACAAAAAGAGAAGTAGCACATGTTTCCATCTGAAACATGATATTCCTTTCGCCACTGAGTATTTTTGACTCAGCAGTGAGATTAGCAATAGTCCTGCTGTATGCTGTGATGGAACACAAAGGAACTGCATGCAGGCAGGCTGGCAAGAGTTTGCCACTCTACCAGCTCGACAAGGCACTTCAAACTTGTGAATTAGATGCTTGCCAGCAGTCTGCCAGAAGACCTTTTCCTAGAATAGCAATCAAACACTAGAGTTAAAAAAACAATTTCTTGACCTAGGTCACAGCAAGGGAGAGGCAGATGATCTTTCTCCACACACAGCTCAGAGTTCACCTGCATACATGGGGCCTGTAGAGGAGAGAGGGAGAGAGAACTGTCCCCACCAGGTGCCATCGTACCTACCAAAGCACACCAGCAAGACCATTCCCTTTTCTCCCAGCTCAGCAGGCTGGGCGGTCCTCACAAGAAACCTCATTTGCACTGTGAAATCACTCTTCAAACAAGACAAGTACTTCCAGAAGTATCAAATAATCTGTGTTAATACAACAAAGCATAAACAAAAAGAGGTACTAAAATCTGAGTGGTTCTAAACCATCATGGCAGATGAACTAGTTTGTTGGTATTAGCAAGAAACATCTGACTCATGCAACAAAGGGAATCTTTTCCATAGCAGATCACATTTGGAGTGTCTAAAAACCTCAGAGAAATCCATTCATCCTTGATTACATTTGCAGTCTTCTGAATCAACTTTAAAAACAAAAGTTGTGGAAGTAGAGGCACCTAGGCTTGAACACTCCCTAAGCTATTCCAGTAAACTGGAGAGTTCATAAATTTAACACCAGATCACAAACCAGAGACGTTTCTTCTGACACCAAAGTAAGGTTTCACCCAACAATGGCTGAAAGCTTGTGAATTCCCACAATGTCCCAGCTGTCAGCCCTACTGAATGCAAGAAGGTGGTGCCCTTTACCTGCACACTAACCTTTTTCTTTTTTTTTAAACAAAAGACAAGAGGAAGTAACTTGAAATTATGAACATTTTTCTATCAGAATGTACCAGTCTGCTCAGATTATTTATAAAACCATGCATGACATGACATACCAGTGTCTTCAAAGAGAATCTAGCTACAGATTACATTCTCCAAGACCTGCAAATGAAACCAGCAAAACTAGCTGTCCAGGCTGCATTGCTACTGAGTTTTTGCATGTTTTCCAGTTAATACACAACCTCAACAGGCAGAGAAATAAGCAATTACACTTCAGAAGGCCTTTTATTTAGTGATCACCTCACAAAAGATTTGCATTTAAAATAAAATGCAACTCGGTGCTTTCAAGGAATTGTGTTCAATGTACATACATTATTTATTTTAAAATATACATATTATATATACAGAAATATATATAGTATATATATTTTATGTATATGTACACAAAACAATTCCCCTTTTCCTATCTTTGCAAGAAAAGATGGGAAAATAATGGATTCCCTCATCATCAAGACCTGAGATTTCTTAGAGGCCCTAGATAGTCATCACGTTAGTATTATTAATGGAAAATGGTTACATTTGGGCTCAAGAATATTTTAACCCAGCACAGATGAGAACAACAGTACCCTTAGAAGAAATAACGATGCAGCAGACATGTCCAGTTTAGTATTTCTTACTAAGCAAGTCAAACCCTTCAGTATTATTCCTCCTTGTTACCAGGCTTGCTGCACTGCTTACAAGTGCTTTCATGAAGCATTTCATACCATATGCTGGAAACTAAAGGTAAAGACTGTCTGTTGCCAACAAATAAACCTTGATTATGGGGCACCACTTCCACAAACAGGAAAGCCAAACTATTACATTTTAAATGAACTGGCCTACTCGCTACTTCAGTGTTCCTGTGACTATAAGAAAGAAAAATACAAAATATTTGTATTGAAGTCCACATGCATCATCTCCATCTGGTGTGGCTGACATGCTTACAAAAAACAGAAGCTGAAATTTAAAAAAAACCTTTGTTTCAAACCTCTTCCTGAGAAAACGTGAGACCTTATTCACCTTTCCAAGACTGGAAAGGGAAAAAAAAAAAAAAAAAAAAAACTTTAATGAAGAAGGAAAACTAAATCCAGGTGAGGTTTTGCAGCTGTCTTCAAAAAGAGCAACTTAGTGATACTTTGACTAAATTTTAAGATAGTAAGATACAGATTATAGTCTAAATCAGGACAGTTCTCAAAGTATCTTCTGAGAACAATTCCATCAAGATTCAGTTTCACAGCCTTACCCCCACCTTCTCCTATGTAAAACCCACCTACCAATTTCAACTCAGGCTTCAAGCTTCACAGCCATCCTTTATCACACGCTCAGATAGAGCTCTGTCTTCTGACCAATGCACTAAAACAAACAGAAGAATCTCAGTGTTTATTAATAAGCTGAACTGTTTAAACCAATTGCTAGTGTCCAGCATCTGGAAGCTCTAAGAGTCCAGACGTAAAGATCCAAGTAAGACAGGTGACAAGGTGATGGCAAGAGCACATTCACAAACCTCTCCCCACCTACAACTTCTGTGACTACAGTGCAAACAGATGTGTTAAGTTTCAAAAACGCTTCAGAGACTCACCTAACTTACAGGTCAACAGCTACGACTCACCTACCTGAGAACCGTCCTTCAGCGTAGCAGCCGCAGCAAAGGATGGGTTTCCCTGTAGCCTCTGCCATTAGCGGAGGCCACAGATAGTGTGTCCTGTCATATTTCGCGCTAGGGCAATTAGTTGATGGAACTGCATCCTTCTGGTGGTAGGCCTGGGAATGGGCTGAGGAACAGGCCCCATTTGGTTCTTGATGTGCCCAGGTCTCCCCATATTGCTGACAGCTTCCCCTAGCTGATATGGGGTCTGTTAGGGCACAGAAGAGGTAGTGAAGGAAGAAGGTCAAAACTTAACCCAATAAGGACTGCGTTAAGAAGAGGATGGGCTAAGACCTCCCTTTCCATACAGAAGTATGGAAAGATCACAGGCACAAAACAAGCTTAAGCACAGTGGCAAAACTGCATAGGCATTTCATGATTGAGGAGAGACTGATTTTCCAGACTGAAATAGAACACAGGAATTTACTCAGTAAGTAGAAGTAATTTGAAGGCTGCATTTGGATCACTTTCATTGGAAATCAACACAAAGGTAAAACTAGCAACCTCATCTAAAGAATCAGCTACTGGGAGCTACTGCATGCTGCCACCAAATGAGCAGATTGAGAAGAAACCCACCATCTCTAAAACCATTTTATCTTGATTGAATCCATCAGTTGTAAAAATCAAAAGTGAAACTAGCAGATTGGGAGAAAGTACCTGGAAAGCAGGGCACAAATACCCCCCCCCCCCCCCCCGCCCCCCCCGCTACTCACAGTCACAACCTGTGTGCCTAGTTAGATCAATTCCTACACAGTCCCCATTTCAACAACAGCAAAGACCAAACACACAAAATATTATCTAACCATAATACAGCATGTTAAGTACAGAATATCAGCATCTAGCCCAGAAATCATATCATTCTCTTTCCAGTGCAGCCCTTCTATCCACTTTATCTTCTCCTGGCACTCCCTGGTGCTGATCGCAATGATACACATCTGACACTCCTGAAGAGCCTGGTTCCACATTCACTGCCTTTCTTCATGTAAAATCTGAATTCCATCAACAACAACCCTCTACAGAAAACAGCTGTGGCCAATCCATCCCACCCAGGGACTTCTGGCACTACCGTCCCCCTGCTCAGCCCAGAGCAGCTCACACACATGCACACCAAAGAGGATCCAGTGCTATGGTGGCTGCATTTAATGAAAGCAGAGCATCTATTTTATCAGCGTTGAATGATTTCTGCACCACGTTTCCTCTCTTCTTCATGTGATTTTAGTTCTCTAGAATATCAGGGAATGTACACAAGATATGCACTATAGTTTTAAGATTTTTTTTTTCATTTTAATTTTTATTCAACAGACTTAGTAGAAGCCCTTCTTGGTTATGATTTTTCTTTTTTCCATGACACATGAAGAAATACAATTTCTTACAGTTAAAAGCTGACAGCTGTTATCATGCTGCAGTCTGGTAAAAAAAAAAAAAAAAACATGAATGGAGCTGGCTAAAGGAAAAGTTTATTTTCTGAAAAGTCTTATCAAGCTACTAGATGGGCAGATTAAGAATCCGAGGTCTGATGGCATTACAACACTTAGTGCAGCCCTTACCTGTGAGACTACAAAGCCCACAACTGAGGTTTTGTTGAAACAATGTCACCAGTGAGATTAATGCTCACAGCTTCAGGCACAAGTGAACTGCAATTTCCACTAGTGGAATAAATTTGCAGTTTACTAATAAGATCCCATGCAGTAAAGTCTCTGAACTCAAACTAATGCTTTTGTTATTATGTATTCTAAATTCTGAATCATCAGAAAGTCACAGTATTTTATAGAAACAGACTTTCATATTATAGCTAACAGCAACTGAGCAACAAGATATTAAATAGGACCATCTGTTTAACAATCTCTGTATAAACCTTGAGATATTATACTGAAACGCATTTTTAAGTGTCATTTTGATATCTGCCACACGATCTTCCAGATACACAGAAGCACTGCAAGCAGCCCAGTTTCATCTGAGCAATAACTGTCGAGATAGAAACTCACACAAAAACCTCATGGCAAGAACCATGAGGCAACCTGAGAAGGATTTATTTAGGAAGAGTATTAGTTGTTAGTATTCAAAAGTTAGTATCAACTTAAAACGCATACTTCCCACTACGTTGGAAAACAAATACAACTGATTCACGCTCTGCAAAACAGAAGTGCTGCTCTTAAAATGAACCATTTAAGTGAACTACTTTCTCTCTGACTAGAAACACTAGTGTTTATACACAAGTGTGCTATAAACAAAACCAAAGAGGGACCTGAAAAGGTTCTGCCTCTTCACAAAAGCAGCATTCCTACGGCTGACCCCCGGACCTGTTCTCTGTCCACCACAAGATTTCTTCCGACATGTACAGAAGAGCCACAAGGCACAGAAATGCCCTTTCCAAGGGCACGCTACTATCAAAGTCACAAAGAGGCCTAGATCAAATGCACACTGATCTCTTAGGTACCTGCTATCATCTTCGCTGCAACAGAGATTACAGCTAAGCATCAGAACCACAAGTACCGAGGTTGCAATTAAGAGGATTTGTTTTTGTCAGGTTTTGATTTGTTTAAAGAAAAGCGTCAAGCTGGCAAGAACAGTTGGATCAGACGAAAAAATCACTGTGAATTACTTTAATTGGTGTTACATCAGAGATACACCTACAAACTTCCCCAGCACATACACACCTTCCCGCATAAGAACCAACACTTCTAAGAAGCAGTGCCGGCAAGCAGGCAGCCCTCCGTGCAGGGAAGCGTAATTCATGAATGAGCTCCCAGAGTAGCAGCAACCCGGCATCGCTTCAGAGGTCTGAAATCAATTTACTGCTACGCTAGCGTCAAGAGGATTTTGAGAGACACACTTTTATACGCCCATTCCAAAAAAAATGGCCACCCACACCTCTCCGAAACTCCTCGTGAGATGACAAACACATCAAGGATTTGGCACAGTTCTAAGTTTTAAGTTCTGAAGGTGCTGCAGATGCTTCTGGAAACTAAATTTCAGGCTGTGTACCTCATTTATACCTAATTACGCTAAAACACTCTGGCGTACACCTCTCGATGCCTTGTCCTGCCGGAGTTTCCTACGCCCTCGGCCGCCCGAAGGAGTCGCTTTGGCGAAAGCGGGAGGACCGGCCACGG